TGTACAACATCAAAGTTGTCATGGTAGAATTTTGAGGAACAAAAGCTTCAAATTGCAATTTATATACACAATTTGTGTTTCCGTTTCTGTACTAGTGTCCTTCTTTTCAGGTTGTTTTCATATCTATTGTAAGATTGTTTTTGTAAAGGGTTAGATGTAAGAAATAACAATGTACTTTTATTGATTTATATATTATAACATCATACTTCCACCTTTCCAGTTAGAGCATTGTATTTTAGAAAAATAAACATTGAATTTAGTAAAAAATAATACAAAGGGTAAAATGGTCATTTTTATAATTAAGCACATAATTTCAGAGGTTCCAACGAAACAACATATTAAAACTTCAAATCTTAAGAATTCAGACCCTCTTAAAAATTCAGACCTCTTAAAAATCCAAATCTTAAAAATTCATATCCTGCCAAACAACCCCTATGTCTTTCGTTCTCTATCCAACTTTGTAGTCTCCCTCGCTTTAATCATGTTACATCACTAGTAAAAGTCTCCTATGACCCCTTTTAACCCCCTTCCTCATTTTCTATCATATTCTTTTTGTTTTTTAAAAATTGCTAGAGGGTCTCCCTCTCCCAAAAAAATAAAAAAATGAAGCACAAAATATATTAATAAGTCACTATAGTAAATACTTACAACAACATATTTTCGTTTTATGTAGACTATTCTTTAACTTTAGACATACACTGGTATAAAATAATTACCATTATAAAATCATAGTCACACATTTAATGACCATACTATAATTATTCTGATCAGACATTATATGTCTTCTATACCTAGATTTACTTATAGACACACATACTAATTGTAACCATAACCAAATGCTACTTACACTCACAATATTTGTTTTTTAAAACCAATTCATTATATTTTGACACACATAATAAAAGGCACATAACCATTTACCACTAAAAGTAACTTGTTTTCTTGCTTTTACTAAGTCACTAGTAAACACCACCCTATGGACACACAAATATTTAATGTGACCATATGTATCACCTTTTAGCTACATTGGCTTTCATATGTCTAAAAGGGCACCATGATATAGAAACATATAAAATTGTCTCATGTCACCATATATTTATCTATTGTCTCATATAAAAAATGTATCATAATGTTAATCAGTATTCGTAGCTGATGGTGATATATGGTCACATCGTTCGAGTATGGCTAATAATTGTCACATTTGGTATAATTAAGTGTGGTTAAAGTTTTGATTATTTGTACAATGGCCACATAAACTAATTTAAATGTATCCAAAAGCAGTCACTGGTTTTTTTAGTGACATTTGGCCACACTTTTAATAAAAAGTGTCATAGGTCGTTTTTTGAAAAGTGTGACCGTAGGTCATTTTTGTACTAGTGCAAGGTAAATCTCTCAAAAAGTAAAGTGATAGATGTTAGTGTTGGTGACTCGGAGATGGTTGACATGGCTAATAACTTAAAATGTGGTGTTGATTCGTTCCCGATGAAATACCTTGGAGTTCCTATCGGAGCTACCATGTGTAGAAAATCTAATTGGATCCCGTTAATTGACAAGTTCAACAAAAAGCTATCTAACTGGAAAGATAAAAATCTCTCAATTGGTGGCCGTCTTATCTTATGTAAATCTGTTCTTGGTAGCCTTTGGGTCATACCTTTCCTCCCTCTATAAAGCCCCTATTGTTGTCATCAAACGTCTTGAAAGCATTAGATGTAACTTCTTTTGGGGAGGTAATCAAGATAATAAAAAGATTGTGTGGGTTGCGTGGGAAAAAGTGCTTAACAAGAAAAAAAATGGTGGCTTGGAAATCGGAAGCTTGCGGGCCTTTAACTATGCCTTGCTAGTTAAATAGTGGTGGAGATTTAGAACCGAAAATGGTAGTATGTGGCATGACGTGGACTGCATAACATTCATGGTCAAGACAATGGTATTGGTCGGACTCGTTCCAATGCTAAGATGAGGGTGTTTGGGGTACCATTAGTCACCTACACTTGTCTTTAGACAAGCTGCAGATTCATATCAACAATATTTTTTATTGTTAGGATAATCAATGAAGATGGATTGGAGATTCTAATGAAAAATACATAGTGGCATCGTTTAGAAAAATTATAGATGACAACCGGCTAAAGCCAAACATGATCAAGACTCTTTGGAACCAGATCTGTCCCGGAAAAGTCAACATCTTAGTACGGAGAGCAAGGTTACAGAGGATGCCCACAAAGCTCAACGTGGATAGAAATGACGTTCATCTTCAATCGACACTTTGCCCGCTTTGTAACAGTAGAGATGAGTCGGAGATACATCTGTTCATGGAGTGCTCGACCGCGATTCAAATTCATTCCATACTTCACATGTGGTGGGACAAAATCCAAATTGCTTTCAACTCTATTGAAACATTGTTTCAAATAGACAACAACACTACTATCCCTCAAAATATAAAAAACACTGTTTTTGTTGTGCTCATGGCCTTTACGTGGGTTATTTGGAGATACAAGAATGATCACACATTCAACAATGTCGTGAGGAACAGTCAAGATCTGGCGAGTGAGGTGAAACTTTTGGATTTCAATTAGATCAAATTTAGATGTAAAAAAGGAAAATTGTTGAATTGGCAGACTTTGTGCAATTGTCCGACTAGAGAATGTTTGAACTTGTTATAATTCTGGCTTCTAGTTAGTCTGGTTTCTAATTAAATCTTCTTGTTGTTCAAAAAAAAAAAAACCAAGCATTTTAGGGAATCCATGCTTGTTTTCATGTGTCGTATACAACTTGGTGGACGTCGTTAACCGTAGACTTGCGTAAATATCGGTCACAATAAAGGATAATCAAAACTTCAGCAAATTTGTAAAGACATTCCCGTGCTGTTCTCTCTGATATCCTCAAATACTCTTCCCATGAGTCTGGTCTCATGCTGAATTCTAGTTGACAAATTGCCGCTGTATATTTTTGAATTGGAGAAAATCTTGTCTGCCTCTCACGTCTTACTTCGTTAAAAAATATGGAAATTGATTATTCACATGATCAACAATGCGTAGGAATATTAATTTTCTCATCAGGAATCGACGTCTAAATTTTTTAGCTTAGACGACATAATCAACAAAGTAGTATTGTACAAGATGGTTGTTCCAAACCGCACAATTTTCTATGAAGGTCATTGTCTGATTTTTTAACGCGAACTTTCAACTTTGTTTTCTTGTAGATATATAAGCGAGTGTTATTCACATAACGTTCCCGATAAACTCTGATTCATGTAAAGCCAATGTATCTGATGAAGTCGAAGATGATAATGACATTTTGAAGTTCATATACAAAGTATTTTGGTGTTTGTGTTGTGATTTAAATAGAAATATTATGTTTATTTATAATAGAGAACAAAATTATTTCAAATTTTGAAGGCAACAAAAGGAAAAAGCATTCGGCGAATACTTGTTGCGCGCAACGCGCGTACCGAGGTTTTTTCATTTCAACACCGCAGTGGCACCTCAACTCACGTGGTGTTGGGTATATAGATACCCACCGGCCTTATTGTTGCTGTTATAGTCGTATACTTATCTAGTTCAAACAAACGTATTTTTAAGTTAAGTACGTACTCGGATATACTTTCTCCGTCCCATATTAATAGTCAATGTTTCATTTTTGGTTTGTCTTGAAATCATAGCCCATTTCTATAAATAAATATATTTTTTTACCAAAATACCCCTCATTATTAATTAACCTATAATGGAATTAAATGCAACAAAATGATGAAATTAAATGAAACAAAATGGTACAATTGTCATTTTCATTTAATAAAGTTAGTAGTAATTAATTTTTTTTTAAATCTGTGTGTAAAGTTAGTAGTAATTAATTTTTTTTAAATCTGTGTGTTTTTTATCTGTGGATAATAATTTTGGGACGGAGAAAGTATATGTTTGTATTTATCATAAAGATTTAAATATTTGCTTACCCCGTCAATAGAACTTAGACATCATTCCTATCAAACGTTAACCGAACCATTTCTACATTCGTCTCTCATATATGTTGGATCACAAAAAAGCTGTTTCCATTTTTTGAAGTATTAACATTGAATTTATAGGTCTTAATTAATTATTAGACATTTGAAAGTTTTTGTGTCTATTAAAACAAAATTAGTTTTAGTTAATCAATAAAACAAATAGTACTATAATATTTTGGATGTGAGAGAGAGAGAGAGAGAGAGAGAGAGAGAGAGAGAGAGAGAGAGAGAGAGAGAGAGAGAGAGAGA